TGTCTGTCCCTTTCACAATTTTAGTTGTCTTTCGTTTAGAGCCGTAATGTTTACATCCTGATGAATACAGTTTACCTCTTGTTTTCTCCTTTATCCATCCCTCATTACAAAATTTCTCTTTCATACATTCCCAAATCCATTAGTGTTCCAAAAAACATGCAGATTTTTTTTTTTGAGATTTCAGGTCTTTTCATTGGGCAAGACTGAGCTGAAAGTAAGTTGAGGATGGCAAAGAGGAAAGGGATTTGATGTTATCAATGCCAAAAAAATAAACCCATTCCGCCCCTTTTCTTTAATCTTCTGATAACATTAGTAACAGTAAAAGTTGTTATTAATTGCTGTGTTTTTACTAAGAAGCATCAGATGGCATTCTTTCCACCCAAATAGCATTCAAAAAAGCCCAGGAGCATGGAACAGGCTGAAAGAATGGTGACTGGCTGACCTTGTTGTTAGGAGACAATAACCCCGGGTGCAATTCATAGGGACCTGGTCTCTTTAGCAATTAGCTCTTTGGAAATAATCTCAGTGATTCATAAATAGGGGCATTTTCGGTCATTTTCCTCCCCTTAATGAGACTCTTTTCTTCATTGTCCCTCCTACCTCCTGATCCTTGTTTGATCATTTTTGATAAAATAGCTATATGATTAATGGGAAAAATTCATTATACCTCGTCCCTAATGTCTGGTAGATAAAGGATGAGATTTGTGGGACTTCCAGTTTGCCGCCGCGGCCACTAGGGGTGACAAGCAAGGAGGGGATCCCCGCTTGATCGCAGAAGGGTGGTAGCCCTTCTGCTCGATCCGGTGCAGCCCTCCAAACCGGCGGACGAAAGACCGGCCATAGAAATATGGTTTGTCACTAGGCTGCAGACAGCCAAAGGCAAACTTACCACCAAGCAGCTACAAAGCAGCGCGGATGAAACTGGGTAAGATCTGAACCTCTCTTCAATCCTAATTATTTTGTCCACCTGTATAAGCTGCCCAAAGTATTTTTCTCCCCTGTGGAGAGAGGGAAGGGAAATTCTATCCCACTCTCTAAAACAGGGCTTTTCAACCTTTTCACAGATTGTACCATTTTTAGGACATGACAATATTTGAGTACCACCAACGCTTAGCAAGGTGTCAAAAACTTGAATTTATCCATGTTTATTAACCTGCACCACTACCAGCTAGCTCAGGGGTCTTCAAACTTGGCACTTTTAAGACTTGTGGACTTCAACTCCCAGAATTCCTCAGCCATCGTGGCTGGATGAGGAATTCTAGGAGTTGAAGTCCACAGGTCTTAAAGTTGCTAAATTTGTAGACCCCTGAGCTAGCTGGTTGGTCCTTCTTAGCTCTCCTTTCACAGTGTAGTAAGAATGCACCCCCGTCCCTTCCCTGTACCCTTAAAGACACAGGAATCAAATGCAAAGCAAGAAAGGTTCACAAAATAAATACATAAACTCTGTTTTTTTTCCTTTTTTTAAGCTGCCTCAGATGTGTCATGTGTCACAATGTTGCAATCCCGACTGAAAGGCTCAGGCAATTGCGAAAAGCTTTAGCTTTAAAATTAATCCTGTTTATCTTCAAAGAAAACTTTCTAAAAGCCATAGACAGATTCAAGATAAGGGGGTAAAATTAATTACATTTGTTTAAAGGGATTAAACCTACGAAAGTCAACACTTTGGACTCATTTCTAGTCTAAAATACAGACTAAAATATTCCAATAACCAAAGCACACAAAGGATCTTCTGAATTACAAAACGCTGTAAAAACTGTACAAAAATCCTTAAGGTAACCCAATCAAGCTGCCAGCTGATCCAGAACTAAATAAACCCACCTCCTTTCTGACATGCCGGCTTTTCATTTCATCAGCGTTGTTTGCATTCTCCTGGCTGGAGAAAACGAACCAGGGGACCTTTTCTTCCAGCAACAGCTGCTTCTTCTTCTCTGTCCCTGTTTCCTCCCTGCCAGCTGACCTCTCCTTCTCTTTCCCTGTTATCTTTTTTCCCCTTTCCTGACCAAACCACCTCCTTTTATAGCCTCTCCTCTCCTTCCCCCCATTTTTCTTCAGTTCACCTCCACGCTGCTTCTAGAAGCACCAATCAGCTAGAGCCAATCAGCTGGAGCCCTGCCGGCTCCTGGGGCTTCTGCCGAGTGCAGACAGTCATGCACTGCAGCTGCCTCTCTCTCAGGCTTGGCTCGCTTCGACTCATTCGCCTCCCCTGCTACACTTGGCTAGCAGTCGCGTACCACTGCCATGTGGCAAATTACCACAGGTGGTATGCGTACCACTTGTTGAAAAGCCCTGCTCTAAAAACAGTGGCAACTGAATATCCAGGGGAGTTTAAAATGCTGAAAAAATAACTTGATTCTAACTGGATTTTTATTTTCCTAAAATTTGAGGACTAAAAGATTTCTTATATTTATTGAAAATTTGGGTTTTTACTTACAAAAAAGAAGTAAAATTGGGAAGGATTATAAAAATTTTGGACTTAAAAAAAATGAAAAACAAAAATCTTAAACAGTTTGGGCGACATCTTGTGGCTAAACCTGATATTACAACATGTTATTGTTTAAAAGAGACTTGGCCCGAAGCCCAGACTATAGATAAGACTTTTGCAACCTTGACAGATATCAGCTGTGAGAAGCCCAGCTGTGTTTTATACTTAGTGAGAAAATTATTTTCATTCCCTGATTGTACAGCTTTTAATTTAACACACTAAGAGAACATAGAAGAAGATCAGGAACAGATTCTTTTTATGCTGAAAGCAATTTATGAAACTATTCTTACAATTACTGAAGAAATAAGAAGCTACAGAAAAGAACAAGATGTCTTCCTAGATATACGAACCCAAACTTTGATTATAACTAAAGAACCAACTATACAGAATATAATAGAACAATTAAATACTATGATAGAAGATTTAGCTGATCAACAAACACAGTTAATGGAAAACCCAGAAAAGGGGCTGACAACACTGAAAATAGAAAAGACTTTTTATATAAATCAAAAGAAACCTGAGGCTCAAGAAGAACAGACCGAAGGGAAGATAAACATTTCAGGACAACTACATTGAGATGGGAAAATAGAGACACAATTTGTTAGTCCTTCCCAAAAAAATGGAGACTGGATGGCCTCTTTTATCTCAAACCAGGGCTTTTTTTGTCATAGAACGCCCAGAACAGAGTTCCGGCACCTTTTTTGGATGGAACCTTATAGGGTAGGCAAGGCGGGTTGTATGACATGTGTGAGTTCCGGCACCTTTGTTTTTTTCAAAAAAAGAACTGTCTCAAACAACATAACAGAGGGAGAACTATTTGATGACTTAAAAGCACGGATATGGAAGGCAAGTTGGGAAAGAAAGAAGCTAGAATAAGGCTGAAGAAAATTGGGGTTTTGACTCATTAGTGAGGATTAAAATAGAATATACTCAAATAGACATACTGAATACTAGATTTTGTTATGAATTGAGATAAAGAAAACTTTGGTCATTTAAAATTTGGAAGTATAAATATCAAAATTTAAATTTGAATATTGATTGGTCCATAAAGGTTGAATGTAAAAATAATCAAGATATACATAAGCTAAAAATCTACTGATAAATGTAAAACATATTTTTATTTAGCTGATATAATAAGAACTGTACTAGCTTAAATATGAGATAGTAGATACTAAGAGAAAAAGAGAGGAAGTATTTGATGTTGAAACAAGAGAAATTTTGGTTACTAAATTTAAGACATTTGGAAATTAATAGAAAATAAGAATGTTACACTGTATTATTAATTAGATGATGTAAAATGGTGAGAAATAGAATATATTCAAATAGATAAGACGTGTATCCTGAATATTAGACTTTGTGATGAATTGGGATAAAGGGAATTTTGGTCACTTAAAACTTGGAAATTATAAATATTAAATGTTAAATTTAAATATTAATGGGAAACTAAAAATTGGGAAAAACTAATTAGGACATTGCTTGTCTATAAAGACTGAATGTTAAAATAACCAGGATATGTATAAGCTAAAAATTATTGATAAATGTAAGAATGTTACTTTTGTTTAATTGATATAATAAGAATTGTATTAGTTTAAATATGAGACAGTAAATACTAAGGGGAAAAGAGAGGAAATATTTAATGTGGTAGTTTGAAACTTGCACTAAAGATGTTTGTATGACATTGAATTTTCGATTAACTCAGCCACCATGTTGCTTTTTAAATACTTAAATGTAAAATTAGAAAATCAATAAAACTTTTTTAAAAAAAGGATGAGATTTGTATTGGTATTTCCTATTTGGGTTCACCTGTCCAATAATGTAATAGATCAGAAAGACTTAAATACAGGTAGTCCTTGACTTATGATCGCAATTGAGCCCAACATTTCTGTAGCCAAGTGAGACGGTGAAGTGAATTTTGCCCCGTTTTATGACCTTTCTTGCCACAGTTGTTAAGTTAGGAACACGGTTGTTAAATGAATCCGGCTTTCCCCATTGACTTTGCTTATCAGAAGGTCACAAATGGGGGATCGCATGACCCCGGGACACTGCAACCGTCGTAAATATGAGTCAGTTGTCAAGCGTCTGAATTTTGATCAGGTGACCATGGGGATGCTGTGACGGTTGTGTGAAAAACTGTCAAAAGTCACTTTTTTCAGTGATGTAACTTCGAACAGTCACTAAATGGCCTGTTGTAAGTCAAGGACTACCTGTAAAGCTAATGGAAAGTTATTTTATTAGTTGGCTGATAAGAAAATGTAGGTCAAGGATAAAGAGAAAGTAATCAATGCATAGGCAAGGTTTCTAGTCCACAGTAGATTTTTAGTTTTCTGTGTGTTTCCAACTTAATGTTTTTTTGAAACTTTACTAAGGATTGACATTTTTGACATTTTTGGGGCAGTGTTATTTGTATACGAGTGTGGCATGCGCTGGCATCAGCTCCTTGTTCATATTGTGCTGTATATTCTGAGTGGCTGTGGGGTGCAACACTTACACTCCCTTGTTTTTCCTGGCAACTCTCTAGGTTGGTGCGTGGTCTGGCAGCTCTTCTTGTCCAAGTTTAAGTTCCTACGAGAGCTGATAGGAGACACGGGATCCCAGCCGGGGGATAGTGCAAATGCAGAACCCGAAACTGAACAGGATGCGCTCCTCACTCCGCAGAGAGGCAGGCAGAAATCTGCACGTCAGCGAAGGGGACCGGCCGAAGAAGCAAGCTAAAATGAAATGACTGGGGTAATTTCCAAACAAACGATGAGCAACGTCGGTTAAATGGCTTGTTTCTACCCATGTGCGAAGCAAGAAAACCAAACTATTTCCAAAGAAGTGCAGACAACATTTTTAAAGCAAAATGGCAGTTAGGGGAGAGAAGGAAAAGCAAAAGAAGCATCTTGTGCTTTCCGGGCGGGGTTATGGGGAACAGAAGTGCTAATTTTCTGTTCCTCACCGGTTATGCCTAGCTTTTGCACAAGGGTGAACACGATCAACTCCGCTGGCTACTGACATCACTATAAGACTATCACTAATAGCAATTAACCTTTGCTCTTTGTGTATCCATTTTGTATAGAAACATGTTACTTTTATGTATAAACTCTATGAATATTTCTAAGTGGTGTCACCCCACGCCCCTCAGGATAAAACAAATATTAGGTCCATGTAGGGGCTCCATCAACCAAGTTAAACATAATCAGGACATGAAATTTGGCATTTGATTGTATGCCTGTTTTCAAGCTTCTTTAAAAATGAAAACATTTTGCCAGATTAGTGCATAACTGTAAATGTTTAGGGAAATCCCTTCTGTTTCCCCTTAATATAGAGAAGAGGAGCATCTGTTACAAATCCTCATTTGATATCATTTTTTAAAGGAACTAACCAGTTGGCTTTAAAATGGACCTTTTTTCCCTCTGGTTTGCCTTTTCTTGTTTTGCACCAAAAATCAACTGAAACTAACTACGGAACTCCTGATGTAGCTCCGGGGATTATATTTTATTACAGTCTCACTGTTGTGCGAAGTGGTTTGACCAGGAACTTTGTAATTAGTGTTGTTCTTCCAACTTTCCCCTTGAAGAGCTGCACCTGATGAACATCCAGCGTCTGCTTGAATTATGTATACAGCAGCCCGGATAGTAGCATCAAAGTTGTAGCCAAAACTGAACGAGAAGATATGCCGACTTTGAACTTTGAATTGGTGCTAAAGAAGAATTGATCACGATTATGACACCTCCAAGAACTCTTAACCTGGTTTCTTCTTGGTGCACTTTTGTTCAATGCTCTTGATGCTCTGCTCCAAATTTTTAATTTTGTTCAGCAGAAGCTGTAGAAAAAGCTCTTAACAGTTCACCGTTGCTAAAAGCAAACCCTCCTGATGAGAGTGCCGTTCTCCTGACTCGCTATTTTGACCTTTGGAGGCTTAAATGTGGATGAAGAACTTTGTTGATTTTATTTATTTTCTGGTAGCAATTGAATAAGTAAATGGCTTTTAAAGATCTGTACAGTATTGACAAGCTCACGAGTGGATTTGTAGCTTTTCCCCTTCGTCCCCATGACATCCTACCATCCAGTTGTTTGCAGTGGTTGCCTTATTGTTCGTCTTTTTGTCGCTGCTGTTGTTCTTTGCAACATATATCAAACAGGGTTTAGGATTGCTTGTGATATTTCTCAAGTGGGCTTTTGCCCCTTAAAAAATTAACACGCAATGCTCAATCCTCGAATACAAGATCTTACCAATAAACATCTGTTTGTTTGTTTGTTTGTTTGTTTGTTTTAAAAAACCCCACTTCTAGCTGTACATGGTAGAAGCAAGTACTTGAAATAATGCCAATTGTATTCAGAGTAATCGGACTCAGGTTTTCTCACTTACCACAGACACAATATTTGCCTTACAGGATTTACATCCTGACGTGACAGGCTTAATAATGTCAGGGTTTTTTTTTTCATGCACCTCAAAAATAGTTTTAGGTACCATTTCTGTTTATCGAAACAAATAACCAATCTTTACTCCTCCTGGAATAAAGTTTGCAAATGTGAATGTTGGGATTCTAATCCGACGGGACAGATAGTTGTAACTAGGGTCCTATGCCATGTAGAGTTAGGATTACTTGTTTAAGTGTGAAGGTTTTCTTTCATTCAGTAAAGTAAGTAGAATATGTTGGGGAAGCTTTTTGTGTGTGTGAGTTTTTCGAAAGGGAAACCAGGAAGTCACTTCTTCCTGACATTATGAGTTATAGCTAACACTGTCCCACAAGTGATGCTGCTGGTACAACTTTGGTACGAATAATGCTGCTTCCCAGAATGTAGCACTGTTTGAACTACATTTGCACATTATATGTATGCTTGATACAGTTCCAAGTCTTTTCCGAATCATATAACAAGTAATCCGTCAGTTTCTGTCTACATAATCTTCTGTCATTGGGTGATGTATGGCCATTTTTTTAAAAAAATTAAAAAGTCACAGTTTGATTCACAGATATGTCCCTACTAGTGAACTTTCATGAGCTCATTAAAGGAGAAGGCTCTAGGGACATTGAGGAAGGCCTTTGGTTTTCTTGATGCCAAATTGATGAACGTGTGACATCTGGGATATCTCCAGAGCAGGACAGAAAAGTAAAAATGATGGCTGCAACTATATAATCGAACTCTTCCCTCTATTTATTTGTATCGTGGGGCTTCACATGGTACAGTCATTCTACCATCTTGGATGTGAGATTAAAATACAGATCAGATAGTAGTAAAAGCACTCTTGCATTTACATATGTCATTCCCATCCTAGAATTTGGGGAGTGAGGGGGGATGGACGGTTTCAACATTTGATAAAATGAATTAAAAATGTACTAGGTTACTGCTTGAGCACTTGTGTGTCAGTTTTACCTAATTAAGTAGAACTGGGCCAGTCATTTACCCCAAAGCTAAAGTTACTTACTATGTTAGTGGTGAAGCTGTGGTTTGTTCCATTTCAATGTATTCTTTCAGCTAATCATGGAATGCAAGACCTTAACACAAACTAAAATACGTGTATTTGTATAGTTTGAGAAAACAGAATTTTAGCAATGTAATTGAAAGGATTTTATTAAAAAAAATGGATGTTCCAAGAAATAAACTTATATCTGTGAATATTAGACACAGCTTTATCTCATGTGATTTTATGATTGATGCAATGCAGTCCTATGCAATCTTATTCAGATTTCAGTGATGTTTAGTGGCAAATCTGTGCGTGTGCTAGACAGTGGCAATTATCCGGTCTATTTACAGGCTCTCTCTACCTGGAAAATAGCATTGAATCTAGGAATTGATTATGACAAGCAGCAATGGCACCATTTTGTATATGAAACACACAGGCTGACACTGTTTTATGATTTGAGTTTTGCCATTTCTGAAACGGCTCTTAGCCTCAAGTTTCAGCTGAATGTTTAAAAAAAATTAGCTAAAACATTTTAGCTGTCCATGAACACTTCAGAATGTAAACCCCTGGATTTAAATATGCATAGAAAATACGTATTTATATTGCTAAGTTTTTAGAATTGCAGTAATCAACGAATTGATTGCATAGTTGATCTGTAGTCTATGGTGAAAAAAATCCAAGCGTGGAGACATTTCTTATACAGATAGTCCTCGACTTACAACAGTTCATTTAGTGACCGTTCAAAGTTACAACTGCACTGAAAAAAGTGACTCATGACTGTTTTTCACACTTAATGACCGTTGCAGCATCCCCATGGTCATGATCAAAATTCAGACGCTTGGCAACTGACTCATATTTATGACCATTGCAGTGTCCCGGGGTCATGCGATTCCCTTTTGTGACTTCCTGACAAGCAAAGTCAATGGGGAAGCCAGATTCACTTAACAACCGTGTTACTAACTTAACAACTATAATGATTCACGTAACAACTGAGGCAAGAAAAGTGAATTTTGCCCCATTTTATAACCGAACAAATGTCTCACTTCGCAACAGATATGTTGGACTCAATTGTGTCATAAGTCGAGGACTGCCTGTATATGAAATAAGAGAAGAGCTGCTGAGAACACGCAAACAAGCACATACATCTAGCTGAAGATCAAAAAGCCAACTGCAGTTAGAGTAATAATTAGGGGGGGGGCTGCATTCTAATAGGTATATTATTTTTCTAGGCAGATCACCTTTTTAGATTCACTTGCTTGTAAACAGCACATCTATCACTACTGTGGTACAATTATTAGAGGTCACGTTGCAGAAATGGAGTGGTTCTTCACATAAAAGGCCCATTTATCATTTATTCAAAGCTATTATCAGCATTTTGAGAAGCCTTATAATGAATATGTATACCCTGGCCACTTAGAGTGGACAAGGAACCAACAAGGAAACGGTTTATCCCAACGTGTGTTCCATTCTTGGACAAATTCAGCATTACAGCATTCAAGCTTTTTCTATGCTCCTTGGTTGGTATATGAAAAAAACAACCCCTGTACTAATTGCTCTTATGCTTTCTATAGTCATCATGTTAATTATTTTTGTTTCTTTATTTAAACTGATTCCATTAAAACATGACAAATAAAATGTAAATAAGCCAACTGGTTGTAAATGTCCTTCTTTCTGCATGCCTATTACAAAGATTTAGAATGAAGCACAAAATCACCCAGCAGACCTTTAATCACCAGCAAATGAGAAAAAAGTATTAATCTTTAAAAGGCTGAGGTGCTAACCGAATAAAGTTTATGAATTGTTGCAGTTGAGGGGGGGATCTTGCTTATAATTGGATGTAATTTTGATCTGGTACAGTGCGACATAAAAGGGAACAAAGGATCAAACCTGAACAGGTGATAGGAAATGAAGTATATCTGGTAAATATTTGTTTTAGCTGCTATTTCAAATGACAGTCCCGTATAGGCCTCTGTGAGGCACAGCCAAAGCTCTTGAAAAGACATGCGTTCACAAATTTATGAGCAACGTGGAATTCTCAAAGGCTAAACTGAATTTCTTCTAAGGCAATTCTAAATTTTAAATGCAGAAATGCTGAAACCATAGAGGACTTAATATCTTTGTCTTGAGTAATTTGCTGCAAGAACATAGTTGTTGCCCTTATAACATGCAAATGTAATTTAGGAGCAGACCCTAAGCTACTGAGGACATTTATCCAAAACCAGAACTTTGGGTTTATTTGTTTATATCTGTTACCTCTCTTAATATTATGACATTGTGGTGTATATACAGTATACAGCAGGTGTGTCAAACTGCCGGCCTGTGG